GAATATCAAACACTAGTGTAGTCACTTACATACTTCATTTAAGGATTTTAGAAAAACTTACAGGGCAACAAGTTATAGACAGAATGGGTCCAAATTCACTCATAGCCATAATGCTACTTAACAACAACAATAAAAAAATCAGTTTCAGTACTATGTACTAACCTACCACACAATATTATACTCTTCAGCTAAAAGAATAATGAATTTCTCGCCCACCACTTCCTCCCAAAATGCAAGCTCCAGAAAGCAGAGATCTTGGTCTTTCAAGCTATACTGATATACTGCAAACCGCTAGAACAGTGCCTAGCAGACAGTACTCAATATTTGCAGAAGCAATGAAGAGAGAGGATGAAGGGTTGAGAAATTGGCAAATCTAAAGAAATCAAAGAGTTGATTACAGATAGATGACGGCACAACTGGTTAGTCAGAATAATTTAAACATAAGTGAATTGATGTCAAGTATGAGCTATTCCACGTTTCAGCAAAAAATCAGAATTAGAAGAACTCAAGACCTCAAGAATGAACAGTGTAGGACTAACATTTCCTAGAAATTCTACTGTATAAAAATAATGGCCTCACAAAATTCTGAATAATTCTAAACTCTGCTTAAAAAATCAGAATTAAGAAAATTAACATTACTCCCAACTCAAAAACCCAACTCTTTGCCCAATTAGAACAGAAAACATGCCAGCGAACTTCATTAGTACTCTCGTCAACATTCCTCACTTTCTGATGTAATTTCTCACATTTACTTAGAAAAAAACTTCAAACATTCAAAACCCCTTTAATTAGTATCAAAGCACTTAATTCTAAGTATACCGTACCTTTATTTATATAAAGCGGGGCAATTTCTGCATATTGACATTAGTGTTTATATTTCTGCAATTTCAGAATTCTGCATCAGGTGTATTGTTTTAAATTTGAAGAACTCAGAAAGGTCCTCAAGTTCTCTAGGAGTACGTTACTTACTCAACTGGGACAATCATATTAAGATAGTAAGTCTTTCCCCACTACAACTGCACTTCAGAAAAAGCATGCTTTAAAAAGGAAATACAAATCCCCCTCTTTCACTCCCACACGATATAATGTATTTATGATTCTAAGAAGGGAAAAACCACGATCTTTCTCTAGTTTTACTTTCAAAAATCTTCTGTTCAATTGCTAGTTTGTCTATCATGACGTATTCCTGTTACTGTAGCGACACGGGCAAGTATGTCCAGTTTCTCTGTTACAACATTTTAACTGCTTCCCATGGGCTATCTGAATCAGATACGACATCCAATGTTATACCTTATGTACTAAACACTGCAAGTATAGACTCGACGTAATGCCAAAAAAATAAATAAATAAGTTTCTGATCAAAACACGTTTGCTATCGCTAAAACCGATAGAGTAAAGCAAGTCTGCTTCGTGACTATACTCATTCTTTCAGGCTCCCATGGCTAAGAAATGGAGAAATCAATTGTCCAATTCTCTCTCGCTTCACCCTTGGCCCTTCTACGAGTGGCGAGGCAATCCCTGCACGAGAGTTTGTAAACTCTTAGGAAGCTTGTGGGATGAAAGATGCTATAAATACACCCGATGTTATTAGTTTATTACCATTGAGCATTACGTGAAACTACTGTCACTGCGTCGGGGCTAGGTTGATGGCATAACCCCTCCTGAGGAGGGGGAAAGGTGAGAGGGCAGTCCCCTCCATCACCCCGAAAGCTAGGCTGGGTAATTTTGTAAGCTGCAGCGAAACCACACGCGAAAAGTTACACACACGCCCCACACTGGGAGGACTTCCACAGTCCCCACTCCTCCAGGGCTGGAGTCCCTGGCACCGAGCGGGGTGGCAAGTGCTGGGGATTGGGCCTACACCCCAGGAACGTGGGGAGGTGCTGGGGCAGCGAGGGAGCCCCGGCCGCAGCCGACGCCCGCGGGGCGGCTGGAGGGGCAGCTCTCGGGCGGGCGCCGGGAACGGCCCGGGAGGGCGGCCGCGTCGGGGCCCCCCGCCGCCCCGTTGCCGGGAAGGCTCGCTCGCGCCCCGCGGGCGGCGGGCGTGGGGGAGGGGAGGCCGGGCCTGCGGCCTGTTGGGGGAGTTCAGCCCGGGCCTCGCGTGCGGCTCTCGGCCAGGCCCCCGGCCCCAGGGTCCTGGGCACCGACGAGAGACTCACCGGAAAGGCCCGGATCCGCATCTTGGTGTCCTTCCGGCTGCCCGTGCCTTTGCTCAGATTCGACATGGTGCTCGTCCCCTCCCCGGCAGCGGCTTCAGGTCGCACTCCGAAGCGCCGGTGTCACATTTAAGGCGGGCGGGCAGGCGAGGGGCGACGCTGGGGGCGGCGGCGGCGCGGCCCCCGGGCAGGGCTGGGAGCTGGCCGGCCCCTGGCGGCCGCGGCGGTGGCGGCGGCAGCGGCTTGGGTTCTAGCGGCTCGGACTCGGCTGGGGGGCTGCGCTGGCGCAGCGGCTCCGCGGGGTCCCCTTCACTCCCGGCTCGGCTCCCTTTATCGCGCTCCTCCGCGATGGCGGCGGCGGCGGCGACGGACAAACATCTCACTGCGCAGGCCGAACGTCCTCCTCCTCCTCCTTCTCCTCCTCCGCCTCAGCGAGACGAGATCCGGCCCAGAGGGTGGAGGGGGGAGGAGGGAGGGAGGAGAGCCGGAGAGTGGAGAGATTGGGGGGAGGGGGTGGGAGGACGGGAGGGGCAGGCGGGTGGCCGCAGCGGGGGGAGTGGGAGGGGCCAGCGGGGCGGAGGTGGAAAGGGGCGGGGATGAGGGCGGGAGGAGCAAGCTGCCTTTTTGAAAGAGGAGCGTCAGAGACCGGGTTCTGGGCGGGGGTGGTTGCTGATTGGTGGAGCTCGAAGCGGCCGTGGGGGCCCTGGTTACGTGGACGGAGTGGGCGGGGAAAGTTCGGAGAGACCAGCGGGATTGTAGTGGGCTGGGCCGGCTAGGCTGGGACGAGTGGAGGATGGTCCCAGGGAGGAGTGTGGGGTGCGAGGTGGTTAACTACATCCTAGAACTGGTTCCTGTGTTTTTCTAGGGCATGTGGACTAGGGATGGGTACTTGAACAGAAGCCAGCAACCCGAAGGAAGAGTTTGTGCAGGAGTTAACTGCAGTGTTGGAATTACTGTCATGTATGCTTAACAAGGTATTCGGACTGGATGTGCACACCCCAGCTCTCAGGACTGAGGATGGAGATGTTAAATCTACAAATATATTGTCTGCTGGACCCAGGGCTTATTAACGTCAAAACCTGTTTTCCATCACCTTTAAAATAAAATGACAAGTCCCTTAATGTAATGCAATTATTTTGGTAAATGGTGTTAAATGGAATGACAGAAACCTATCTTTAACCTGAGAGATCATTTCTACCATTACGGAGAGTATTACAGGTTTTTAAAGACAAAATTACTGTCTGATTCAGTTTGCTGTATATTTGGAAGGGTTTTTGTTTTTGTATTTTTGGGGGGAATTACTCATATTATAGTCAAAACGTCTAGTTTGACTCATCAGTTTTGCTTTTCATTCATTATGAATTGTACTTCCTGATTTACCTACTTGCCCAATTGTTGTTATACTTGAGTTTCCAACTCTGCAGGGGAATATGTGAGTTTCTAGTAGTGTTTGTAATCTTCCCATTTTAAATAAGCTGTTGTTGGGATGGATGGCTACGTTTAAAAACTCAGTACATTTTTGTAGCACAGTTAATGAGTAAACTGAAATATACTTGTTTATTTGTTGACTATAAGGTTGAATTTGCCCTAAATTAATCCTGGTGACTAAGCTTATGGGTGTTGTGCTTTCAGCCCTACTTGGTTGAAATGCCCCATTGGAAGTATCATATTTTCTTGTTTTGTTTAATCAAAACAGGAGCTTAAGAAAGGATAATGAATGTTGCTTGAGGCAATATCTGTGTAAATCCTGAAGCTAAAAATAGGTCATCAAGAAATGTGTTAATAAGGTAAGATTGGGAGGGGCTCTGAGTTCAATGTAAGATAATATGAGTCTTGGGTAGGAGTTTGTAATCTGTGTGCTAGTTGAACCTCTGCTTCCATAATCGTTAGACTGTAATAATAAACAATGTTGTTCTGTTGGTTTTACTGTCATATGGCCCAGTTTCTGTGTAGTATAAGAATATACGTTCTGGAGCCATTGATTTGAATCCCAGCTTTGCCACTTTACTTAAAACTGTGTTATGTGTCTTTTGGGACATGGACTTGACTGTGACTGAAGTTCCTCATCTGTAAAACAGAGACAATAATAATACTTCCTCCTTGAGCTATTATGAAATTTAAATGATTAAATACATTTTAGAAAGCCCTGTGAGCAGTGCTCAGCATGGAGCAGCCACTCAACACCTGTAAGCTATTATGGGCGTTAAGGCCAAGGTTGTATCTTCCTTTATTCTATACGTGGGTTTCTTAAAAACATTCATGTGCTTTTATAAAATGTATCATATTTTAAAACTAAGCCAGTCTCTGATATTTGGAGTCTACAAACCAATAAAATATTTTTCTATAAGCTGGGGAGTCAATATAGGTTTGACTATTTTGACAAGTAAGGGCTTTAAAAAGGAATAACTAGCATAGACTATCCCCACCATTTATTAAAGAAAAAGTATTTTAACCTCAGAAATGGAGGAAGATCAATTTTTGAGTAAAGGACAGTTCTTTAAATTGGTTAGTTTAGCCTTATGATGAACAATACATTGCACTGATTTTTCCCATTTCACTGTGAACCGGAGAAAACATCATGAGCCAGCATTTAGGAACCCACTACACTAAGGTATATTTATATTTAATTTTAAATCATATAATCACTCTTTGTTTTGTGAACCCAGATTTTGATATGTTGGTGTTGCTGAAGCAAAATATAGCTGCATTTAAAAGAATCACTATCAGTTGTGTCTTTCCTTAGATTTTTTTTTTAACCACCAAGAACCAGAAAAATGTTTCAAAATGAGTTTGTCATTAAGAAATCTGCTCACTTGTGTGTGCATTTATTCATTCATTTATTCAAGAAATATTTACTAAATGACTACCATATATATGTCTTATTCAGGTGAAGGAGAAGATGAGACCTGCCATCACAGAACGAATAGTCCTTTTTCACATCTCAAAATTTGCAAACTACCAACCCGAGTTTGATTTGGCAACAACTTCCCATATGCTTCAGTCCAGAAGTCAGATTTTCCTTCATAGGGAAGTAGCATCCTCAAAATGTATACCTTTAGAAAGTATATGAAATACCTTCTAAAGCAGCAGTAGACTATTCTTCTGTGCCCAGTGATATTCCCTGACTTGCAAATAGTGGATGAACTTTCAGGATATTAGCTTTTCTGAAAACTGCCACCTGATCTAGCAGAGAAAGCAGTGCTGGAATAGGAACTCACTAGATCTTGCATGCCTGCCTGTTGGTATTCCTACTCATGCTGACAGTGTCCTGACACAGGAAAACAGTGGCCCCATTTCCATTTATTCGTATGGAGCATGTGCAGTCGGAGAGGTTGGACGGCTGGGTGGGCCAGCCCCTTTTCTACATCCCTGTCTGCAAAAGAGCATTATGAGGTATGAGGAGCTGGTAAATGGGAGTAATAGCCTCTTACTGACGATAGCTTTCCAAGTATTTAGGATACTAAGCCACTTTAATCACCATTTCAGACCTACTGATTTGATTGTCCAAATAGTGGCTATTAAAACAGCTCACAGCCTATCAAATCAATTATTATAGAAAGACCTTTTCAATGGTTTTGAATAGATCAAAAAACCATGTTAGGAAAAGATGCATGTTTTTCAAATTGGAAGGTGAAAATATATAGATACTATCAGCAACTTGATTGGAAGGCCTAGATCTACTTTCTTTCTCGTCCCCACCATGCAAATAATGAGCCATTAGATATGGAGTTGTACATATTTAGAGTAGTAGCATGCATATGTGCGTTATAAAATGACATGTTATTAGCAAAAAATAGGAGTACCCCATTGAGAACATAACCATAGATACTTAAATATATGAAAACTGTAGGCCTTCTCCATGTACCTTTTCTACTTTGTCCTTAACAATTTTCCTTTTATCATTGAGACAAGAAGCATATGAGCATGTGAGACAAGTTACATCTTGAACTAAAGAAAAGTCTCCAGTGTCTGATTATATCATAAAAAACCCTCTCTATTTTTCATCACACTGTCATACTGAATAAAATCGTCTCACTGGCAGCTCTGGAAACTTTCTAGGTGGCTTGAACAGCGTTCTGTTTATTCTAGATTGACCAAATGAATTAATATTTTAGAAATAAAAATATCTATACAACCAATTTAACAGAATATAAATTCTCAATTAAAAATTATAGGTACTGCATCCATGCAATTTTATTTTGAATAAAAAGAATTTCCTCTTATTGATACCATTACAACAGTAACTGTATCAAGAAACCTCCAGGGGACAATTATGAGTATGTATTGCTTTCACTCATGACAAGTAAAGTATATGTTGAAATTTATAACTCATCAGCTCTGTCTTTGTGAAGTAAGTTAATTCTCCAGTTGACATAAAGCATAGTCCTAAAAGAGCTATAATAGTAATAGTCTAAATTTTTATGTTACACTTAATAATTGTATGAATTATAAATATAACAGTCAACAAATGTAATAAAATAGCATTATCTTTAAACTTCTTCGGTAAGCTATTTGTCTTCAGTTCATAATAAAACTGTATTCTTAATTGTTATATCTTGAACTGGTAGAAATAAAAATCTGAGTCAGGTAAAGGAGCCCTTGTAGGGAGAAAAGAATAACCTTTAAGGGACTAATAGATACGAAAGTTGTTGCGGCCTATTTCTAGCCCCAAATTGATATAACGAATTAATTCCTAGAGGTAAGTTGATTTAGAATTATTGGTCTTTGAATCGTCTAATTCTTGCACGACTGGGTATTTGGGAAAAAGACCCACTTAATGGGCAGTTCTGAGGTAATGACAAATGGACACCTTGTTAAGATAAAACCATCAACTTACATCTAACCCAGTTAAAAATCTTTGAAAGAATTTTCATTTATGAGACCATTAGAAATGGTACTTCTCTGTTATGGAAATTTTCATTGAGAAGTGCCTGGCTCTAAAAAAACCTTCAGTTTTTTGAGAAAAAAACTACTTTAGATGCTTGGATTGTTAAGGCAGTTTTGCGTTCTTTTACTAATTATCATAGTGACATTTGTTCTTTTTTTTAGGAGGAGAGTGTGTTTCCTATTAGCACCTTAGTCTCTTATTTTAAAGGAGTCACCCACTGGGTGTGGTCTTGGTGGATAGTAGTTTCCACTTGCTACCATATTAGCCAAAGGGGCCTGATCCTCCCAACCCACTGCCCAGCTCAGCCTGGAAGTGGATGTATAGTGGAGACGTGGGCTGTCAGACCCTCCGCTAGAAACTCCGACTCGAGCAGGTGACTAAAGGACACAAGACAGTTGGTGGGCATTCGGGCCATGGCAGTGGGTGGCCTGAGCTCTTCCCACTGAATGCCTTTAGCTGTCATTCCCACTCCTCATCTTTCCAGCTGTCCTCTGGTCCTCTGGTTCCTGCTTTTTCTCCAACCCTGGTCCCCACCGCCCCTTGTTTCTGT